AAAACGCTAAAGGATGCGGCCGCAATGCTTAGATCGTTGATAATCACCACAGCCACGGTGGCTGCAAAACTAGCCATCGCGAGTAGGAACCCTCCTAAAGCCAACAGACATAGAAGTACATCCGTCTTTGTGCACTGTCGATCTGATACTCTGTAGGCATACATAGAATCAGCGTCATGGATATCGAATTTAACACCAGCCATGATGAAGAAACCAGAGAACTCTAGGAATGTCGCAGAAAGGTGGGGGGGGTAGCTCTTCAATAATTGGCTTAAGTGGCTGACAAATATCTGATTAAGATACACTTTTCGACCGAAAATTCTTTGGGAAAGACAAGTCTAGCAATATGTCAAAATAGAGGTTACGTGATAGCAAATGCGGTGTCTGTCCTGAAAGAGAAGATATTATCACCATGAGCACGGCAGGTAATATTTATAATATTTGTCCAACCCTGGTAGTTCATACCAGTACTGTATATATTACAGTCGAGACACCTGCCACGGGGTTTAAAACCACAGGGGAGGGGGATTCGATGTGAAACCCTGTCTTTTCAAGATTACTTGATCACCTGTGAGAGTTGGAGCGGCTTCGACCCTGGCCCCTTGTCCTACCGCCACAGCGAACTAATAGCTCATAAACTAGTTCTAAAATAATGCAAAGGCTACTGTCCAGTACTTATCATTTAGTACAGCTACTGGTCCTGCGGTGTTATCCAGGCAGCGTAGGCTCTCCACGAATAACCCTGCTGAACACAAAGAAAAAACAGCAGCGTGAAATCAGCAATGGCAAAATTCGAGTACGCTATGTCTTACCCTGGAAAATGACGCTAGGAAAAAAAGGACCTAGTTTGCCAAATTACCGCTCTCAAAAAATATTGACTATAGAATTCACTCTAGACATAATTTCGCTCATGGCTTCACTCCACCAAATTCCGTCCTTTTTTGTAGGAGATTAGCAGGCTAGTTTAAACTCTGGATCAATGCAACTCTATAGAGGATTCAGGTACGTTATACCACTTTACAATGCAAAGCTCCAGGTCTAGCTATAATTTATTTATAAAAAACCGCTTACTCGAGAGACATCTATACCCACAAGAAAACCCTGGCTAATATCCCAACCGCCCATTTCCTAGTAAAATGATTACGAAGGGTCTTCCGTTGGATTGAATACATGAGTGGCACTACCTCTCCAGAAGGAAGGGTATAAAAAGAAATAAACTTTTACTACGCGTAGTTGAATATAAAAACATTCTACTTATACCTCGTACTATGAGAATTTACGAACAGGGCCAGAACATTTGAAACCTTTGCATGAAATCCCATGTTCTCTACAATTTGAGGATACACAAACACTAAACAGTAAATGCCCGAGTGAAAAAAAGGTCAAGTGGTGATCGAAAAATTTATTTCGTGTTAGACTGGGCAGCTAAGGGGTTATAATATTCTAGAATATGATTAAATGAAAAGAAATATACAACTAGTTAACCAAGAACATAGGTATAGTCAAGCCAGGATACGAAATTACACCAAAAATCTTCAGGAAAGTAGTCCAAGAATATTTCTTCAACTTTTAGACACAAAATTTCGAAGAGGGTCAGATGGCCGAGCGGTCTAAGGCGCTGCGTTCAGGTCGCAGTCCACATTAGTGGGCGTGGGTTCGAATCCCACTCTGACCATCTTTTTTTGCTTACAATCCTTTTTGAAAGGGTGGTGGGAATTTTTCTCTAAATGGTGGGAAAGTATTTCCCGGATTTATGTTCACGCTTACCTTACTTGTTTTCCAAATTTTTAAAAATTTAGAATGGCGACAAATTGGTTAAACTAAGGCATGATCAAAGTACTATAATAATAAAGAGCACCTGTGTGTTGTATCATTCATGTTGTGATGGATAACCACAACATGATCAGTAGGTAAGGTCGGAGTCTGAACATAGTGAACTTTTGGAATAGCCCTTTTGGTTCGTATGTGAGGCTCAGGCCACCCATATATCACGGCCGGGTCTAGCCACAGTAGAATAACTTGGGGTACCACCAGTTGATACTATATAGTGGCTGCTGTGTGCTTTAGTGCAGTATATTAAAATTTTGTCCTCGGTTTATCTGGTGGTGAAGAGTGACTGCATTTTCCCATTATACAAGACATTGCTCACCTTCATGGCTTGATATTTTTCCTTTTATTCACATGGTATAGCAGAGTAATAGGTCCAGTTATAATAATAGCTACCTTTACAGTATTTACTTCGTTAGAGGGTACAACTGGGTAAAAGTGTATATTAGCAAATATTCTTTGTTTATATTTTCATATACATAGGGCGGACTTGGCTAGGAAAGCTTTCCTATACTGGCCGGTAAATTTTTTTCTCTGACATTGTTGTTATCTCCATATCATCACAATGTCTTTTACGCACAGTCCTTATGATGACTTCTAAGGTGGATATTGAAGACATGTTGAATCGTTCCTTTTTTAAAAAAAGTATTACCCACAGCTATTTATTAACAGTTTCAATCGATATAGAAAAGAAGTGAAAAGAACGAAGTAGTTACCAACTCTAATCCATAATGGATCACTGTGGAATTGGGAAGCAAAATAAGGTAATTTTTAGACAGGAACACAGTATAAGCAACAGAAAGGGATACTTTTATAATTTTAAAGCACCAAAAACGTCATTTTAAACATAGTAAATAAGCAAATCCAAGCACCTTATGAAAAATGTTACTAACATTAAACATTATATTTCATTTGTAGGGCTTAACATAGAAATCGACTCAAGTGGGCCAGTGTCAAACCCACCCAGGCACAGTCAAGATCGGGCTTGACGAATACACATTCTTTGCATTTGGGAACACTACCAAGTTTTATTGAAGGGAATTAGTATTCACCTTGGAACAAGATTACTAAACGTCAAAATTTTCACAACGCGCATCAGGCAAAGAACATGATTTGTAAACATACTCGGCTACTAATGATGCTGATTTCACCCCAAATGACATATTACAATTCCATGTCGAAAACCTCAGGATGGTACAGCGGATTATCATTACTTGTAGGATATACGGTTACGTTATACCAGTTTCCGTACCGACCAGGTAGGATGACGGTATCGTCGTTCGTGGCGTAGAGAAAATTGGCATTACGGGGTACTACGAAATGAATAGTTTCAGTGGTTTCGAATGTGGGTTCCTTAGTGACACGCAGGCAAACAGTGTTGCCTTCAATTAATCTAAATTTGACTTGCAGCTGCTCTCCCTTGGAGATATGTATATTTCTATGGTCAGCACACAATACTGCTTGATGAGTTGTGGGGTCAAAAGTGTCATGGATGGCATCGGATAGCACTTTGCAGGAAGCCCGTCTGTCCTTTGGGAGGCACAAGTTTGCCCAAGACCCCGTAATACAGAGTACAATACCGCACACAATGGCCAATTTCATTGTTGACAAAGTTTAGCGAAAATTTTGCAGAACAAAAGTTGAAATAAAAAGAATGTCAAGTAGTTGTTGAAGGGGGCGTATAGGTTGTGACAACGTCAAAGGATACGAGACCATGTACTGTTTTCAAAGTAAATATCGAAAAACTATAGCCCGGTCGGGATGGTATTTATATTCGATGTACCAGACCTGGGCATGGTATTCGAGAGTGAGTTGGAGTTTATTAACCGATATGGTTGGTTTTTTTTTTGACTATGTAGAGATAAATCCACCAGAGTTTATTGGGTCAAGAGATATTATTAGCATCATTCGTGTTGTCATTTTTTTTTGCTCCAAATCACTATGGAGTCGAAAAATAAACCAACCATACGGCCTATTCTATTTGAACCTAAAGGGAGCCGTGAGTGAGTGACTAATATTAGTAAAGGAGCCAATAAATTTCTGGATAAACATCCTCTGTGCTCGATCTCGTGCTCATAGAATGGCTATGCAATGGGTCTCGGCTAAACTTTTCGTGACACCTAAACCCAGTGTAACTTCCAATCGAATTGAGCTTGGCCTCTTTTCAGCCCGACTTCAATATTCAGGCTTGCACATACACCTCCAGTCAGCGCTGCTTTGCCCGTATTATCTCCTATTCATTCAATCCCCCTTGTGATCATATGGAAACCAATGGTCGAGCACACTTTTTCCGCTATATTCCGTAGCATCACAACGTTGGTTTCATATACGCATCCTTGAAGTTATAAAATCATAAATAATGGGATGCAAAGGATATTAAAAAGATAAAAAATGGACGAATATAAACGTGTCCGACATTGCCGCGGACAATATCTTGGTGCGACATCGACACTGTACCCTAGGTACCACACAGTTTAGCCACGCTAATTCACGATATTCCTCTCATGTCCAATAATGCGAAAATGGTCCAGGCAGGCACTGCGACGCCGTGATATCCAAACGGAGCATAGTATCAACTGTAAAGGAATTCCACCCAAGGCGTTTTCCTTTAGTGAAGCAGGGCCTTTGCAGACTCTATATCGTTGCCAGGTACCACATGACTGTATGAGCAGAAAGGACGCCCCACTATACTCTCCGTAGCACAAATGTGTGACAGTATTTGTGTGGTGATTCTAGTCTCAACCAAACAGCAAGGCATTGGACCGAGACAATGCCAAAAAAATAGGAGCCATAGTCAGCAGAAACGCCATGCTATATGCACCAGGTGAGTGCAGCTAAGCACGTGTCACCGTCTTCACCATCAACAGAAACGAATGTTCGCTGGTAATACTGGGCTGATTTCTATCTCTTCCTTTTTGCACTCTTGATGCATTGAGTGATACGATTGTCAAACGAGTCTCACAAACCATCAAACCTGTGGATAGCGAGGCGTGGACCACATTCCTTTGTTTCCTCACTTTATGAAACTTAGAGGTAATACATTGACTAGGTGGTACTTGGATTTTCTGATATGCACTTGTATCGACTGGCTTTGCATGCACTGCCGCCACCATAGGAAACACATGCCAAACTCACAGTCGTTTTCCCTCCATATCGTGATTACATGTATTTGGGACAGTTTATAGTTTAATAGGCAAAATGCCACATATCCCATTGCCAGATCGCGGTATATTATTTTTCAAGGAAGAGAAAGTAACGCAGCAAGTGAAGCAAAGTGAGCAAGAAAGCAATAGCGAATGAGTATTACAAGAACGAGCGAGCAAAAATAAAGAAAGCTATGTAAAACGGATATTTTAAATAAGAAATTTAGTCCAGACGATTTGCGACATTACTAAAACTGGTAACATGCGAGAAGAATCCGTTGAATATTGGTGATTTTCCCCCTTTTACTCGACACGATTGTTTCGCTGGGAATCGGAATCTTCATCGTCAAGATCACTAGAGATTTCAAACAAAACATGACCATCGTCGTGATCTGGAGGGGTGGTTGGTTTGGGTCCTTCCGAAGAGGACGGCTGGGAATGGGTACCACTACGACGTTGAACGGGAGTACTTCCTTGGTTTAACGTGGAGCTTTCATCATCATCTTCGCCAAAGGCCTCGTACATATCGTGCGGTACATTGAACCGACGGCCACGGAAGTCCATGTCGTCCTCGTCGTCATAGTCGTGATAAGCCATAGCACTGACCAGTCCCTCGCCTTCCTCATCTGCATAACCCAAGCCGGTGTTACCAGATTGGGGCTGAGTGATTGGTATACGGGAGCGAGGAGAGTCGTCGATTGGGTGCTCACCGCCTTCCGATAGGGGTACAAACTCATAAGTCTCGACGCCTTGCTTGCGACTTCGGTACCAACGCAGGGCAAAGAAACCGCATACAAACAGGAAAATGGCCCCCACCATTCCCAGAATTACGCTGAATGCAGTGGAGTGTGTTTTGTATGCCTTGGCTTCTTCATCTTCATCCACCCTGACGATTGGTACTGGATCACCAGGGGGTTGGTCACCAGCCGTGGAAGCGCTTGACGTCGCTTGGTTCTCCCCGGCGTAAATAGGGTTGGTAGGGGAAGGTACCGCCTTGGGGATCGCCATGTCGCCCTTGGGATTGCTCACACTTGCGTCAGTGGCTTCACCCCACAAGATGAGAGACCACAGCCGTAGTGTACCGGTATACCGTTCGTGCGTTTGATCAAACACCCGCAACGTCCACTCACCCACGGGATTCTCGTCCCAGTGTTTAACCGACATAAAGGTCCACGCTTGGAAGCCTTGTTTGCTTTGGTCACGGGGCCGAGGGGTGGCCAAGTAGGACACATAGCCGCTGGGGGACACCAAGTGTACTTCGACATCTCCCCGGAATTCATGGTCAATGTTCACCGTTACCGTCACATGCTCCAAGCGTTTCATGTACGATCCGTCCAAGTCCGCTTGAGTAATGGTCACGGTGGAGTTTACTCCATAGGCATCCTGCGGGATGGCCTGGTTGACCACCATATCGTCCGTCCGGAACCAAGTCTGTTCATTGACCAGTTTAAACGACTTGGCAGCCTGCACAATGGCCCACCCGTCAATCTTGCCGTATCCGAATTTATGACTATAAGGACGCTGCTGGGCAACTGTTTGCCAACTAGGGTCGTCCAGAGAAAAGGGCACCGCTGTCTGTACGATAAGGTGCTGCATATCACGCCAAGTTAGTTCAGGCCGTACCTGTAAAACGAGAGCCAGTACGCCCGAGACCAGCGGAGCGGCGGCCGAAGTCCCCCCGTGACGACTAGTGCACTGGTTGAGG